ATTTCATTGTCACCCAATTGTCACTAGTTATACAGTCTTCGACAAGTTTTGTTAGCCGATCGATTAATCCGTCGTTAATTATCGAAGCCTATTATATTATTTTGCACGACCTTGAAAATAAATGAATGAATGTTCAGTTACTGTTAACTGAATATTCAGATGCCTTATGACGTGTGTCATGTAACTTAATTTTTTCATTCAAAATATCAATTTTTTAATAAATATTTTTACATGTTTAATTTAAAACTATGAACATAATATTATTGAACACCACCACAGTGTAATGTGATCATTCAAATAGTTTCGTAACGTATTAACAATGATCCGATATTTCGTTGATTGTATTTTTGTTTTTGAATTAGTAACAGAAATTTATAGATGTAATTCATTCACTTTAACATTTCAATTTATGTTGATTATAGTTTGCTTTTATTACGTATCCACATATTTCAGGACGCATAGACGATGTATCAACATACACTTTGTATCTGAACTTGATTTTCGCGATACACCTTAAAGTTCTCTTATAACAGTTATTTATTTGTACATCCTAGGAAAGCTATTAATAACGACTAAGACAAAGCAAGCCAAGCAATATTCAAGGTTACAAAAAGAAACGTTTCCAACTACCCATTCCAGTTATGTGGTATGTAAGTTAATGTAATGTTGTAAATATCTTACAAAGGTAATGGAATAATATTATTTTGTACCGCAAACGAAATATCAGAGCCTAAAACAGGTTGTAATGTAAATCCACATCACATCGTAATAAAATGACCTAGCTATAAATTCCATTTAATACGACGTGACATATAAAAGTTGTGTCCAATTAATAAAATCAAACATTTCCTATTAAACTTCGAAACAACTATAAAAAAAACAGTACAGATAATCTAATAGTATATCTTATTCAATGCTGCTGTGTTAAAGCTGGCAACACATAAATAAAGTTTTTACAAAGGTAGGTTGGTAGCCAATGACTATTTTATGTAACATTAACTTATATAATGTCTAGCATGCAATGGTTTCTTAACTCTGTCGGGCGCATGGGAAACTTCAATTTCCTATGAAACTAAGCCGGACGGCGAATTGATCTCATAACCGATCTAATAATATAACATCATAAATATTTGATGCTAGTTAAGCTTCTAGCTTTAACCATTAAACCCTTATTTAAGCAACTGCTCTTCAAAAACATGTAAAAACGTCAACAACAGTATATAGATGTATAGTTGTTTTAATTAATACGAGCTTTAGGAACGATTACTTTATATTATCTTCTAAACCAATACCTTAACAACTTTGCAAGGTAGGCATCAGGCGGACAACTACTTGTGTGACCCACTTATAATTGTTTCGGATCTACGTATTTGTTCACATGAACTTTACGTTTGTAAAACCTCCTTATAACACTAGATAAAGTTATCCTATAGTAAAGGCGATTTTTAAAATAAAAATAAAAATAATAAATTTTGTTAAACCTGCAGTCGAAATAAGTAAAAAGAATGAAAAAGGCTGAACTTGAAAGATTTTGCATTTAAAATGTTTACAAGAACTATTTTTTTAGTGATATATAAAATTTTCATGTTCTTTATACGTTTACTATTATAAAATTAATGATTAATAGAACTCCTTTTTTAGCTTTGGTCAATTTGATGATAGATAAATTAATTATTACTTCAGAAGACTTTATAAGAGACAGAACACACAAACATTAAAGCTATGACTAACACAATCAGATTTCTAATGACATACAATAAAAATATTGAGTATTATCAGAGTATACAGTATAGTATATATACCCACATATAACTTTGCTAGGGTCATTAACATAATAAAAAACTGTTTAATAATCTCAAAGTTTTTACTCGTGGCAATTAATTGCTTTTATGTCGTTCTTTTCTTTTTTTTATGAATAAAATTTTCTTTAACAAAGAACAGTCACTCTTCGTTATCGCTAGTAGCGGGTTCAAGTTGGCACGTACAGTTATGAATCTTTATAACCACCTTTTTATTAAGACCTCTGGTAGAACGTTGCGAACGATTGCGTACAAGATTGATATTTGATAGGCAACGCTTGGCAACTCGCACATTGAAATCCGCATAAACCGACGTCTAGATTAGTTAAGAGAATATAAAAGTACTCACTAGCTTTTTGATCGCATTTAATTTCATTGATATAATATTAAAATGGTTGTTATGAAACAAGTCTTGACCAAAGTTGTCTACTCATCACCTGCAAAAAACCGGCTTCACGTCGTATATTATAGCTTTATGTTTAAACACTTAATCACGATAGATCTAATAAAAAGAAAACCTTTTCAACTATTCTATTTAATGATACCTAGGTTAATTTCTAATTGGTACTCATAGTCAATATTAAGAAGTCCGAATAGCTAGTTTACCATAAATACTCTTATTAATACAGGGAGATTTTTTGAGAAGTGTCCAAATTTACACAGGAGGTTCAGACTCGGTAGTACAATCGTTTATTGAAAAAAAAAAAAAAAGTTTTTTTTTTCCAAAAAAAAATTCCATTCTATTCCCTAAAAAACAGAACGTGTTGACAATGCGGTAGTCATTCATAAATACCTAAATTTTACTGTGCACGAACTTGTGTGCGTATTAGTTATGAATAATCGCGAGTAAAATAAATCACGCACTTTTTGAGATGTTCAAATGAGTGATTTTAATTATTTATCATTTTTTATATAACATTAATTATGTCTAGTATTTAATAAAAAAAAAATGGATACACTTAGAAAGGCCACCCTGTACATATTGTGTAAATTTTTTCACGAATATTCATAAATGTCGGTAAAAACATTACGTGTTTAGTTTAATGAAATAATACAATGTATCGATGGAATTTTTGCTATTGAATAATCGTAAATTTCGTGCTTATATTGATAATTTGGTCTATTAAAATGTCAAACGGCCATACAAAGTGCGAAAGAAACATGAATCACTACACGTGATATGTTTAAAAACCTTACAATTACCCTTGCGAGTTTTACGATTATTAATTGTCGCGACCGGTTCACTTTTCGGTTTGTAAATGTTTCAAAGTAATTCCGCATTTCCTACATCTGACGGAAACGAACTCGAATCCCAATATGCATATAGACTAGGCAGCTTTTTCGGAGGCCCAGTCGCGAAATTTAAAATCTGGTCTTCGTGTAAGAACAATACCATAATAACCTCAAACAGGCTTAAGTAGCGACCAAGGAAACAGCTTATTGCGACACTTTCGATACTCGATCGGAATTAATCTCATTATTTATCTGCAATAAATTCTGTCCTACACTTACAAGTTTCGATCGTAACGGTTTTCACACTTCCTGCTGCACTATGGTTATTTTTATTTAAAATAAAACAAAAATGTAAAAAACTAATGTAGTAACAAAGCTTTTTTTAACTCTTACATATTTTTAGAGTCTATTAATAAAAAAGTAGTATTGAGTAGACTTTCTAATTGTTAAAGTCATCCCAATAATGACGAAAATTTTATCCTTTTTAGGGTTCACTTTGCATTTGTATATGCATGAGTATATCTTCATATCCCAATACCTTGTGTGCAAGTATAACACAGCACGGCTCCAGCTATCTAAAAGTAACAAAGTAAATTCTTAAGAATTAATAGCATTAATAGCATACAATTTTTTTTTCATCCCATCCCATTTTAGGCTTCAGTACCCAAAGGACTACTCAAAGGAAAACTGGACCCTATTACTAAGACTCCGTCTGTATGTCTGTCTGTCGGTCTGTCCGTCTGTCACCAGGCTGTATCTCATAAATCGTAGTAAGAGAATTGAAATTTTCACAGTTGATGTATTTCTGTTGCCGCTAAAACAATAAAAATAAAAAACAGAATGAAATTTTATTTAAGTGAGATTTTTTTTCCGTTTTTATAGTTTTTATACGGAATCCTTCGTGCGCCTCGCCGACTCACACTTGGCCGGTTTTTCAATGTAAATTTCATTGTATTTTACGACCCATAATCTCATCCTAATTTAGCAAAATAATAATATATTCAATAATCTTTTCGTTGCTGTTACAAAACTGTCAAGATGTAGTTGGAATACTTTAAGTCCTAAGTTTACTTTGTTTTTTATTAATTATAAAATACATGAACTAAATATACTTAGAAATTAATTATTAAATTTTTATTACCTAACATACGGATAAGATTTCCTTTTTTCCGTACGCTACAGTTTTTTTTTTTAATTTTGAAAGGCATCGGAGGTCGACATTTAGCCTTACTGATATTATTATACGGCTTTATTCTTATTTATGATTATTTTGAAGATACTAGCCACGTCCGGATTGGCTATTTTGTTTTTAAAATTATTGGTAATTCATTCTTACCATTTTAAAATTAATTTAAACCAAAAAATTTGGTGCATAATTTTCAGTTTACTTTTATTTTAACATGACGCAACAAATTATTTTACTTTTCCTTGTAGCTATTTTAAGAATTATTATATTATATCGGTAAAAAGTTAGTCCATTAAAAATGTTTTTTTCGTTATTAATATGAATAAAACCTTACGTTTGAAGGGTTTCTACTTTAAATATTATTTGCTTACTTAAACTAAATTTCCCTTCCCTACTCCTTTCAATGTAATGGATTTAGACCCTATGAATTTAACACCAATTCCCCTACTTTAATTAGACCAATTCGCTTGCAAATCACCTTTATTATACGTGCATAGAAATTTCTGCGTATATCAAGTCAATTGAGTGAAATTTACATTGTTAACCGATCTTTGATCAGTTTACTGTTCTTTAAAATAGACTTATATATATCGTATATTATTTTGGTGGGTTTTAAACTGTGATCGTTAGTTAAAGTCGACCTCATTAGTCAACCTTAAAATATCCAGATCAAATGTGTTGAAGCAGAGCTTTAGCAATTTAAACGATCAGGCATATTTCGAGCTGGCTTCAACCTCGTTAACTTCCATAATCATAAATAAGTGAATTAATAACACATCAAAATGTACAAACGTATGTGCGTGCTTTTAATAGTGATGAGTTGGATAGCGGACACGAAGACCGTGAGTTACCAGCCTTCGCTGAACAGCATTGCGAAATCAGGTAACACCTTGATACTTGACCCACACAATTTGAGAGTCACGGCGGCATGGAGAAAGTCCCTCACAATGGGCACCTTGTTACAAATACACAGCATTATGATATATCAATGTTAACATTTACAACACCCTCGGGAAATGTGTGATTATTTAGTGACAGCTTGTCATCAGTATTTGTACTTCGATGTGCTGTTTGTGCATATACAGCTATTTTTTTACAGAAAATTCTTTGTTTTGGAAAATTTAATAACTGTGTAAATATCTTATCCTTTAAACGAGCAATTCTTGTATATAATAGAAATAAAAAAAATATATATATATAATCGGAATCTCGGAAACGGCTCCAGGGATTTTCATGAAATTTAGTATGTGCGTAGATTTGGGGGCGAAAAATCGATCTAGCTAGGTTTCATTTTTAGAAAATGTCCTTTTCAGGGAATGAAAAATATAATTCGAATATGACGGTAAATTTCGCCGCAAGACAAAATGTCATAATAGCTCGGTCGGTAATCGGGCGGCCCCAAAACAGACGGCCGTGGTTCGATTCACGATCATTTACATATTTATTTTTTTTTCGATTCCAGATCATTGCTTTCTTTATTTTAAATTTTTTGTCGATTTGTTATTTTGTTATTATTTTCCTTTTTTTTTTAAAGTTCTTTCTTTTGTGAAAAACATCAGTTCATATTTTCTTATTATTACGTTGGTAAGATCGAAAAATATTATGCATATTTCATTACTCAGTAATTTGTATCTAAATGTAATTTCCAAAATACACGATTTACCAAAAAAAAAACAAACCGAGCATAGCTCGTTCCTCCGGGTACTTGATGTTTAAAAAATGTAAATGTTTGATACAATTTTAAAAAGTTATCCCCTATATGTGTGTTCATTTATTGTCGCGATGGTAACGACACGCTATAAAAAGAAGCACTGTAAAGTTTCGAAGCATGATTTTGATCTTGCAATTTTTTCATGTGCCCTTACATATCCATATATCGCTATAATTCGCTATATTCTGTACTCATGTAAGTTCACGTGCAGAAGAGTTCTTACGTAGCTGGAATGTATAATTATAGGCTATTAAATACATTAGAAAAAAAAAAGTACTTTACAACAATTATCTTCGCATACTGTTTTCGTGTTTTACTTAATAATAATAATGCATGATTTGTTGGTATAGTTCCGGTACCTATTGTTTACGGATTGACTCATCCATAATACAATAAATAAAATCTGTACTTATTTTTATTTGTTACACATTATTCCAGAAATATATTTAAGCGAGTTCTTATTACTTTATCATATTTCCCAAAAGGTGTCTTAAACCGTCCCGTTTCATAAAAGAAGCGAAAACATAAGAAAACATTTCGTTAATCGACAATCAAAAAAGTTAAATTCTCATAGTTATCTTTCTGTTAAGAGATACAACAGTAAGTATCACACCCAAGCTCAATGATATATAATAACACAAGAGGAAGTACACAGAGAAAATATTTCTCTATATCCTCGTCTCTCTACGATACGGGTTCCGTTCAGGATGTAAGCCGGAACGATAACATTGATTTCATTTACGCGGCGTAAGACTTTATTGATATTCCGCGACGCTCCTATATAAATTTACGTAGGGGTAAAGCCGGATAGAATATTCGAGTAATCGTTGTTATTGGAAACGGCCAATTTTCGCGCCAATCTTCCGCCATTTTCGTAAAACCTCGCCCCCAAGGTTTGCCCTAGCTCGCGTGCAATCCGATTAGTGTGCCTGATGCGCGATGACTTTGATGACGTTTACAGCCTAGCCGTGCCGTTTGGCTTAATGTCAAGATGTCAGTCGGAATTATATTTTTCAAAATAATCCTAGAATATTAAACTAAAGAAGGTGGTTTTAATGTCACCTAGAATGTGAATGCGACATTGTGATGAATTGTATTCGTTTTGATTAAACCATATCAATTACTGATTTACGTAAACAGTAAAGGCAATATAAATTCATTTAAATGCCATTTGCCAATGATGATTAATAATATAGATGACGCATGTCCATACTGCGTGGTTAAAGATTTTTGCGCTTTACATTAAATGCCATATATAAGTGAATGTGACAGATGGTGTGGAACTTTTGATACGGAAAGAGATAGCAGTCTATAGAATTGCAATCTAATAACACAAATTGGAGTTATTTTAGTGCTTGAGTTTCGGTACGCTAGTGTCAATATTTAACTCTTATTTGTATATAATATCATTGCCCTTTGTCCGTCTATTTGTAAAGTGGCACTCTATTCATGAGTGATCCGTGAAGATACGTTCGTAGTGAACAACAATTACATTTGAGCAGCGCCTTGACTTTTAACAGCTCTCATTTATTTCCCTATAAATAAGTATTTATCGTTTTTTTAAAGCTGGTTTACTGAAGTACGCTAATGGAACTGTGTGTAACCCATAAGTTTTACGGCCAAATTAAATCCAAATACACCAGTGAGAGCCGTAATAGCTCAGTGTCCGCACGCTCGCCTTTAATTCAATATACTCGATCAACCTGAGTTTGTTTGGTGCGGGCACCAATAAAACTGTTAATTTTAAGTTCTGAACTATTCATCTATTACCATGTGCATATTTTCGAAATAATAAGAAAAATAATATTTCGAAGATATGTGAAATCCATCAATTCGCCGAGGGGCCGCGTGGTGGACTATGCCCTGATACCCTTTGTAGGACCTGAGGCCTTTGCCCAGTGTGACATGTATAGCCTGATACTTTATATGATATATATGATATATATAATATACTAATTATGAAGTTAAGGTGTACAAATATTTGAGTACTAATGAAAATAAAAAAGAAAAAAAATAGAAATATCCGGTATTATCTTTTCCAAACTTATGATTGAACTAAAAAGCTTTTTTGCAAAACGAAAAGATAAAAGGTTTCCCCATAATTCATTTTTACTACGGTAAGGCCATGCGGCAACACTGTCGCAGAATGGGGACATTCGTCCGGGGAAGTACCACAGCCTCACAGAAGACCAGGGTGAAATAAATATAAGTGTATACGTTCGAGTTTCGTCTTTTGAGTGAGGTAACCGGGATCCACTTTTTTATCTTAATCAACACAATCAATTTCTTGTCGATATTGTTGTGCATTGTCGTGGACTCGCCTCAGTTTCTAATCGATTATATGTCATGAAAATCATATTCACGTAGCATCGATAACGGCCATTTATAGCCTCGGTGAAATAATAAAATTCTCTCACGGGTGAAGACGACCGTAATGTTACCAGTACTTGTAAGGCCGACGGAATGTTTTGAAACATCGTCCGAAAGTGTTGTGCGTGACCTTTGCGGGGCGGATTAACATTTGGCCAATTATGATTGATCGGGCAAGAAGAACTTGGAATGTCAAATGGATGGTTTTCCGAATAAATTTTCATCTCGACACGGGTTTGCGGCGTCGGTTGCACAAGGCTTGCGGTTACACACCTTCCTGTTTCATCTGTCATTGCGTGTTTAGACATAACTTCGCCCGTGAAGCTTCGCATGGACGAAATTTTGTACACCTACCACTTTAGACCGCATAATTGTAATACAATTAGCTTAACAATTCTTATTAGATCCCGACTTATAGTTGTTTATGAAACGTTACTAAAATTGCGTCCTAATCGTAAGAAATGAACAATGAGAATAAACTTTCGTAATATGCTTTGACACGTTAGAGTTCCTTCTAAAATGTAGAGGTTATTTTAAGTTTCAAGAGTCAGAGTACGTAGTCGATACCAGTGGCCTCGAGCTCGGCATCAATCCATTCAAATTTTGAAAATAGACAATTATATATCACGTAAATTGTCGCAAAAATCTGACATGCTGACGCAAACCGTCCATTAAAATGTTTCGACGTATTCCAGTTAGTGTGATAAGTTGTGCCGCTTTCTCTGAATTACATTTGAATTATAAAACATAATGACGTAAATGTTATGCATATTTGGTACATTTCTTGTTTGTTTGTCATTTATTGTTTGTATCCGTAGTGTAGTAGCTCATTTTCCCATTGCTTACTTTTAATTCAGTATACTGGCGATAACTCGGCGTCGCCAATGAAATTATTAAATGAAAGGAAAACATCGTGAGGATGTCCTCATAGCAAGTAGTGTGGCCTATAAGTAAATATTAGCTGTTGAATTCATTGTGTTTTATTCATTACCAAGATAAAGCTATAATATCCAAAAACTACTCGTATTCCCACCATATAACCAGAAAGTATAACCGTAGGTGGCTTAGAAGGCCTGTGTTCTGTTGTACGATTTATTGAGTACTAGCGACCCGCCCCGGCTTCGCACGGGTGCATTGTTTTATACCTTTATTGAATCGCTCTATTTGGTAAAAAAAACTCATCAAGATCGTTGCGTACATTTAAAGGTCTAAGCATACACAAGGACAGACAAACAGCGGGACGACCTTGTTTTGTACTATGTAGTGATCAGTAAAGCATTTACATTTATATAGGTAAAAATAAACATAATTTACTTTTTAAATATAAAAAAGTACTTCATATCGAAAACAATTATACGGGAGAAGCAGCAGATTGACGCTTGACGTGTTTTTCAAACTATGCAGTTAGTTCTGATAATTAAAGGATGAAAACGACACTATGGACCTTGCGACTAGTGACCTGTATGGCAGGTTAATAACCCAAACAGGAACAACATAAATCTATCAAGCCCTAAACAAACCAGTTTATAAAATGCGTAATTTCATATGATTTATTAACAAAGGTTAATATATCCAATTGCTTGTTTGTGGTCATTCGATGAATCACTACTAACTTGTATTGGCTGTAAACTTTATCTAAAATATATTTAAACGTCGAATAATAATTGCAGCTTTTACGTTCGCACCTTTATAACTTGGCATGTGGTCCTCTTTAACTTTGAGATAATTAAGCGATACGTATTAGCCGAATTGGGTCAATATATAATTTATGGAATTGGCATCAATCCAATTTAAATTGAAATTAAATATTTTCGGAAATTTACTTTTCATTATAATCGATATAATGAAAAGTTAACTTACGAAAATATTTAATTTTATTATAATATTATTTCATGTTGTAGTTTCATCGGATATAGAAAATTTCACATTTATTGGCGTAGGCAGACGATATCACTCATGTTATCCCTAGCTATTTTTATACATTTAGCATTTACGTATGCGATATTTACGAGTTGAAATAAAAATAAGGACATTAATTAAAAGACAATAACTGAAGAAGTAATATCTTCTTCTCACATATATATATCCCGCGTGTAAGTAAAGTTGGGCGATATGACTTATTGAAAATTGTGTTGGTTTCAAATGAATTAGATATCATATTGTAATAAGCTGCGTATCATCTTCCAGAGTGCTCAAGCTGTAACGACGATGAACTGGGCGTTACGCGATGGACGATGCCCTTACTGAAGACTGGAGAGAAGCGGTACTACCTAGGAATATTCTTCAAGGTAAAATAAAACAACGTGTTTGTTATGAAAATTATTACAATAACATTTACATTAGCAAAAAGCAAAACAGACTTCAAATGTTAAATGAAACTTTATTGCGGATTTTACAGCGTTTATTTGGATTTTTAAATCCCCGACGTTTCGTACATTTTACAGCGTTCATGGTCACGGGACAGACTGAAATTTAAAAATCCAATAAAACGCTATAAAATCACTAAAATAGTAAGATCTCACTCTAAATCCTAGGTCCACAACTAATGAAATTTACTTAATAATTTGTATACGGTACTACATGGAATCTAAAATAAACCCAATGCAAAAATTATTTTTAAAATCGGTTATTAAATAACGGAGTCCTGAGGTATGAGAGAAGAACAGAAGCAAATAGTAGAATCCTGAAGTGAGTGAGAAAATATATTTATGATGTCGAAACTGGTAAAAACTTGTTGTGTGATTTACGATATATCTTTGGTTGTCTCTATGGTTCTTTTTATGAGGGAAAATATTCTATCCTGAAGAAACTCCCCTCTCCTCCAGGTAAGGCGCGCTGGAACATTCAGCGCGCCTTCCTACTCGGCCCCATTTTTACGGCCAACGAACTCCCCCGAGTTCGCCAGTGCTAATAAGCAGCAAGCCTCCCAGCCCCCAGCGGCGGACCTGGTCTGTGGCTCCGTCGCTCACCACGTTTCGGCCCCGGAGGGTAGTAAGAACGGCGCATCGCAATACCGACACTCCTCTCCCCCCGCGGCCCAACCACCACTGCCTCAGCGGTGCAGCCCCGCCGAGTAGCGGAGGATAGGGAAAGCGGCTAAACGCAATACCGGCACTCCTCTTCCGATCCCTAGCAGAAGACAGGGAGAGTGGCTCCACCTCTACCACCCTCGACCTATCCCCTGCACCCTCCAGCACGCATCCAGAGTGGGCTCAATGAGCCCACTCGGAGCGGCCCTCTCAGGCCGGCCTTACACCACAGGCCGACCCAGTTTGGGTTCCTCTTAGCTTCACCGTGGGTGACCAAGCCACGGCTACTAAGCCCCTCCGCCACGTCAAGGCGGGAACCCGGTCGGAGGGGAGAGTAAACATAACCTAAGCTTCAGCCTTAGGGCTCGTGGAGAAGAGAACGATTCTGTGGGTTTGAAAATCGACGCGTTGTGCCTTAAACTCGTGCAGGTAACATGTGTTTAAACTTGATAGTGTAACGGTTAAGTATCGGTGAAATGGCCTATCAGCCATCGTCTTAGGTATCCAACCATCGTAGGATAATCGAATATCAAACGAATGCCGAGAATCGTAATACGAACGGTTTTGAACGCAGCCAACTTACAGCGCGTATAATTTACGTAAAAAGCGCGCCAACTTTAGTTTATCTCTCCCTAATTCACCAGCTCTTGCACATTCGAATTGCGAAATTGTGCCGGAAATTAAACGAAAATTTATGTAAGCCTAATTACGCAGCTGGCCGGTTACGGTTTCCCTGAGATTTTTTACGGCGATCGCATTGTGTGCTCTCAAACCGCAAGGAGACGATCCGACCTCGCCGTTTATTACATCCCACATTAAACGATTGTCTTATAACGCAACACACACCGTTAAAGGCCGTGTCTTCTTGCGTTATAATTTTATTATTAACAAACGAAAATAAATGACCATGTAGCACCCGTGCATTATGTAATTGCGACTTTTAAATGTATTTTTCCTTTCGGTTGTCATCCAACCGTATATTTCTGTCCTTTCGATTGTGAACGCCTTTTAAGTATCGTTATTGTTTTTGGTGTTATTTTTAATATACACCATAACACTATTTCACAGTGAAAACATTGTGATTGACAATATTTTTCGCCACTTCTATCTATCTGCAGTCATTTCTTTATTGCTGAAGATCGTGGTCCTGGTATTGTATTCTCATGTGGGTTAATCGCTTCCTAAGTCATACTCTTGACGGCTGTTGTCGCTATGGAGAAAATAATGTTGCTGCTGGAATCCCTCAGCTAGTTGGATCACTTTTTTTGTTGGCGGCATATCACCTTTCTGCATTCTGTGTTACGAACTGTCCAAAACATGTGACAGAGTAGGTAGCATTAAGAGAATAGTGAACTTTTGATAGACAGCTATGGAGCTGTGGCTGGATACATTGAATATAAAATAACTACGCAAAATATTTAAACAAAGGACAGGGTTTGGGCTATATTTAAATATCTCACCGTTTCCGGTTCGCTTACCGCCACATCGTGTGACAAGAGTATATCTTGGGTTCTTTTAGATTTACTCACTTTAGTAAAATATATTTAATCGGAAATACCATTATACTCTATAGACTGCCCAACAGCGTCACATTATTTATATAATGTTATTTAACTTTAATCGGAATCAATTTCGAAAAGATGACTATTCGAAATTGGATCGCATAAGATTATTGCCAAATTATTCTAACACAAGCTATACAAATGCATTAATAAAATTTAATCCAACTTTTTATATAAGTCTCACCCGTGCTGGTAAGTATCGAAAGTGGGGAGTTGATTAAAATGTAATCATTTCGAAAGTACCTTATTAAATGTAAGAATAACATGCCAGCATATTTAATGAATGACGTAAAGGAAAGTTATTAACAAATAGCACATGTGCGAATGTGTAAATAAAATAAAAAAACGCAAACGGTGATTTCACTCGATCGACCGCAAGGCATTACGGCTATCGTAATATACGCTGTGGGCGAAAACGTTTTCCTGTTAACGGTAGATATAACTGATGGTGAAGTGACAACAGAAAAAACGCCAATAAAGCCACGCGCGCTACAATTGGTCATCAGCAGACGTGTGGCAAAACTTCGCTAGCGTGGCTTGCATCACACAACGTTCGCATCTCGTTCGCAGTCTTCAATGAGTGTGTTGACATAAAAAACGAATAAAACCACAATGTTACTTACAATCTGTTTATAACAGTCTCATTTGGACTTAAAGGAGTTTTTGCAAAGCAAACATATTGAAATTTCGTATTGATATTACGACATAGCTCAATTAAAGTATATCCAAGACTAGCAGATTTGGTCAGCTGTCTTCTTCGTTTCTGGCGTTCCGTATATAGACTCCGAAGTGTCGCACGAAAACGGGACAGTCATAAATATAAAGCGTTGTGATAAGTTCAAATTAGCTAATAAAAGGTTGTTTTAAACATAATATTATAACATAATATAACGAAAAGCTATATAGCATGTTCGGAACTCGTTCACGCATCACTAGCGTCTCGTGGTAACGGTGTCGTGGCGTGTGTTTGATAGATTGTGGAGAGCTTTCTCTTTCATCTCAAGTATTTGCCACGCCCGTCCCCGCCGTGTACATTTAGTAACATTGAAGATTTAAATAACTATTCACGTAGTTGCGCCATGTTCAATTATTGTGGTTATAGTTTACCATTGACATTGTAGAAACGATTAACACATGTATAATAAATAATATTACCTTTAGTTTTTCATTTTTAAGCTATTATAATAACACTATTAAAATATAAAACGGGCATTGAACTTTTTTTCAAACATCTCTTAGCGTTTAAGCAGATATGTATGTACCTACTTACATTATTAACTTCATTGTATTTTTTGTTACATTTTGCTTCATTAAAAATATTTAAGATGAAAAAGTTTAGTCTAATTCTAATTCACTAATTGCACAATCATTTTTCGCAATAGCTAGGTTTTATCGATATTTAAATAACTTGTTATAATATAGATCCGAAACGTAAACCATACCGTACCATATTATTTCACATCGGAAAAATTTTAACAATTTCTACTTTTCCTTTCAATTGATGAAAAAAAAACAGTTGAAAACGAAAAACAATATATAGGATAATCTATTATGTATAATCGCGGTTAAATCACTTTGTCCGAAACATATATTTGTCTGAAACATATATAATATGTACCTAACCTACCTGTTCAAACAATATTTTCGAATTAAAGGGAAACACAACATTTATTTGAAGATCAAAGTTTTTCGTTTTTGTAAGTATCAGTATTTAGTGTTTCGAATGTAACAGTGACATAAACTTTAATTATTTCAATATAACGTAACAAAAACACAATCGCTGTTTTAATACGGGCCATGACGCCCCTCTATTGTCGATAAAATAAAATCCTTTAATATAACATCAGTATTTGCAAATGTGGCTGTGACTAATAATGGGATTATTTCAATCCTTTAGCGTACTCAAAGCGGATACCTATTGTGACATTGTTGTCAACGAGCTCTATGTTATAAACTAGCTTTTCGCCCGCGGGTTCGCTTGCTTTAAAGTCATTTAATAAATATCTTTCTTAAAAATATATATATTTTAAAGTTTTTTCCAATTAAAAATAGCCTATGTCCTTTCCCAGGCTCTAGACTATCCGTGTACCAAAATTCAGATGATATTAAAATTCAGATTTCATTTAGAACTAAAGATGAAACTAAGAATATATGTATGTATCGACTTCCGGCGTTGACAAAATTTGTATCAATAATAACGACTAAAATCGTTACTTTAAGATTGGAACAGCGCAATTTTTTACAAATGTTGCCAACAGATGCATGGTAAACATTCAGGTACAAAATCTGATGATATCAAATTTTTAGGATATACCCTAGACTCAATTTTAAGCAAAGATTAATAAAAAAAAAAATACATTAAAACATTTTTTTGATAAGCATCGTTTAGATCTAGTATCTACGTCAAAGACGTACGCCATACATACGACAATGAACTAATTATAAAATACCTTAAAAGAAACACATTAAAAATTCTAAGCCTCTTAATGTCATGTCTAGTACATTGACATTCGAAACGATCCTCATGGCCAAATGTCGTTCCGTTCGGTCAACTATTGAACGGATGACCGCTTCAGTACCTATTTATAAGAATAACCATTGAAATATTGTCATAAATTTAGAAAGCTGCTTGTTGTAGACGAGTCGACGCGTGTTTCAAACACTCCGAATCAACTGAAAAACGAATGGATATAATTGCTTACTGATAAAGAAAAAGTAATAAAAACCTTTTTTATTAACAAACTTTAGAACTGGGTGACAGACACTTTTAGTAATATATCTTTTGACATTCCTAATACCTTTACGTAACATTGTTTAAAATTAAATAACAAGTTCCCGTGCATAAAACCTATTTATTCTGTTCTATAGTGAGAAGGTACTCACAATGTTAGCAAAGCAATTTCATAGTATGTAATAATTCTAACGTTTAATAGACGCCTTGCTTGCGGTCCACTGAATTATGCAACAGAGTTTGAATGCATCCGTTCATAGTCGTGACGTACTAAAGGCATGAATTTAAAATGAACCATTTCATCAACGCACCATAAAGTAACACGAATAATGTAGATTCCACAGCTAAGCTGGAATTACAATCATTCACAGAAATACGGTCATTATTCAAAGGTAAACGTAATCTAATACCTTTAAACGAACAATTCTTGTATATAAATGTTGTATATATAATCTCGGAAACAGCTCCAGCGATTTTCATGAAATTTAGTATGTGAAATTTATTTTTCATGAAATTTAGATTCGGGGGCGAAAAATCGATCTAGCTAGGTTACATTTTTAGAAAATGTCCTTTTATCCCTGTTTTCAGGGAATCAAAAATATCATTTGAATATGACGGTAAATTTCGCCGAAAAAAAAAATTTATAATAGCTCGGTCGGTAATCGGGCGGCCCTGAAAAAGAAGGCTGCGGTTCGTGTCACGATCATTTACACACTTATTTTTTTACTTTATCCTATAGCGGATCATTGCTTTCTTTATTTTTATTTTTTAATTTCCAAAATACACGATTTACCAAAAAAATACAGAGCAAAGCTCGGTCCTCCAGGTACTCATGTGTATAATCCAAAGAAAAGAAAAATATACGCATTAGAATATACGTCTGAAAATGACCTTCGTTTTCGGTTCGGTCGGGTTCGGTCGTTCATTAAAATTTTTAGAAAAAAACATTAATTGACGCATGCCATTCAACCTATGAAAACAAAACTAAGCAACGTAAATAAAAATTTCCCTATTTTAATAGTAAACTATCAAAACTACGAGATAGTGTCATAAAAATCTTAATATTGACATCTGTAATGAGGCTACACGGTATCTAGACGTATATACAGTTTCTAGTATTTGGACAGATATCTCTTCGTTGAATTTTACGTTAGGATTTTTACATGTCGGGATTTTTGAAAACAAGTAGACGTCGGCGCAGGTCAGTTAAGTCCTTACGACACGATTGCATCTATGACCTGACCTTTTTAATTAGGAATTACTAAGAGTTGCAGCAAAAGTTATCATTAATAGTGGTTATAAAAAAATTAAATCCCTCAAATCATTCGCGAGTAAAACCGCCAATTGTTCAAGGAGTACATCATTCTGACGTACCTTAAGTAAAGTTGGAGAAGTTGATGTCACCTTATATTTAGGAATTAAAAAGAGTTTCAACGAAAGTTATCATTAATATTAGTTGTAAAAAAATTAAATCCCTGAAATCATTCGCATGTAAAACCGCCACGTTACCATTTGGTCAAGGAGTACATCATTCAGACATACCTTACGTAAAGTTGACTAAGTTAGTTAAAGCAAGCAAAGTGTTGCTTGCGAACAGGCTTTGATTAGCTCAGCGCTGTGGTACTTATGCATCCTGGTTAACGTTATAAGGCAGTCGCCTACATCTCACAGTTCGGAATAATACCCAGGCACGGTAAAGTGCAAGTGAAAAAATTAGTTGCCCTTTTAAGCTTGAAAAACTGTAATCATGCACTTTGCAGTCAGTGAACTGCGAATAAAAAACCCCTGTACTGTAAACTTAAAAGACTCAAATTACGCAGTGCACTTAAAAATCTAAAATTAAAAGAAAATAATGAACATTTTGATTGCACACATATTTTTTTTTATTTTATGATAATTACCATCCAACATTAAGTTATGGCTTAAAAAAATAAAGCCAAATAGTAAGGAATCGATGAAATAATCATATTTATGTGTTGAAAAAATATCTCAGCTTTCCAAGTATTTGTAAATTGTTATTCCATAATAGTGCCTTAGGAACTTCCTAAGGTAAATTATAATATTGCACGCTAAAAAAATGACAAAATTTTTGAAACAAGCATTACCACCATCATAAATTTACGGAAAAATAATTTTATGTACAGAACCCGCAACTGAATTGGTGCAATTAGAAATAACTCGCCGTTCCACTGCCTTTGCATAGTTTATTAACATACTGACCCAGGAACCTTTTGCAACGTTTCTTAGCAAAGACCAGAAACTCAACTTCTCAATGAACTGGGATCAAATATGTGTGTGTGTGTCTGTGTGTCTGTGTGTGTGTGTGTGTGTGTGTGTGTGTGTGTGTGTGTGTGTCTGTGTGTCTGTGTGTCTGTGTGTGTGTGTGTGTGTGTGTGTGTGTGTGTGTGTGTGTGTGTGTGTGTGTGTGTGTGTGTGTGTGTGTGTGTCTGTGTGTGTGTGTGTGTGTGTGTGTGTGTGTGTGTGTGTGTGTGTGTGTGTGTGTGTGTGTGTGTGTGTGTGTGCGTGCGCGCGCGCGCGCGCGTATCTGCAACCCTACGAGTGTTGCAAATGTTTATGGGTGACGGTTATCATGTCACATGATCCATCTCGCTTGCCACCTTTTCCCATAAAGACAATATTGGCGTTATATTAAAATATCTAAGCTAGTAAAAGATTGCCTTATGTCATTGATATTTCACCCTAACCTTCTAAAAGCACATCACACGGTTAAAAGAGATGAGATGGTCTTTACCTCGGAAACAAAGGATCGGAAATATCTGTTAAACTAAGCAAGTAGTGGTTTTTAATAAAACATGTATTACAAAAAATAGGTTTGCTGACACCATTGATCGGAAATATGCCATTTAAAATTTAACATACTTCATTGGTATGACCACTAAAGGTCAATGTCATTAGTCTCGCTATTGAACTTGTCGACAATCAAAATACCTAAAATAATATACTAGCTACTTAGTAAATGTCAACAGTTTTTATTATAACGCTTTTTTATAAATAAAATTGAATTAAACATAAAACAGACAATGAGAAAAATCTTTTTGAATTAATTTATTTTAAAGTAATTCTGAAACATATTGACAGTATGCTGATAAAGTAGTCATTTTATCAATATTCTGTCATTCTGTCATTGGTAAATTTAAACAGAGTGGTCTTTATTTCAGTTATTGATAAAAGTAATATAATGACTCAGATATAACCTTTCGATTTCATCGATATGATAACATTAACGATAAGAGCTATTTGAATTTAGATTTGTACTGTGAGTGATCTTTAAGATATTTGGAATAAATATAATGCTCTTTGTAGGTATTATGTTCTTTAAAGATCGTTCGTATAGTTAAACTTTGCGGCCTGCTATCACCCCAATGGGCTTACTGAGGAATAGGATGATGAATAGAATCAGTCTGAGTGATCGGAGATTTTCTAGGCACGTATTAATAAAACCTTTCTTGTTTCACAGGCGAATTGGTTCAAAGCGCAGCAGTACTGCCGTTTTCACGGTATGCACCTTGCCTCCATCTCGTCACAAGAAGAAAACGACAAGCTTGAGAAATACGTGAAGGACTCAGGTACTTTACTATTTTTCTTTATTGTTCTTCTTTTCAGTTAGTCCCAAAAACTAAGATTTAATGTTAATAGCGTTACTAGCCCATAACTGCTGTTATAAATGCAGCTCTGCTAATCAATTATAGTAAAAAATGCGTGTGTACTCTAGCTTTAGCGTAACATTAGAGAAATAAATAAAAATTTTATCCCCTGTGCCAGTTTTGAAAAAGACATTTATTTCACTTGATACGTTTTATTTAATCACTTCAAATTAAACAACGTAAATGTGAAAAAGTTGTTATTGGTTGACATGGTAATACCGTGAGGTTGGTGGTGGGTTAAAGTTCATAATGGCGCGTTTTGGTGATCGGTGTGCGCGCGCACCGTGAACATTTTTAGTATTTTTTTTTCCAAACGCGCCGAAACAAGTATTACGTAAAGACAGGTCTTGCTTTAGAAAAAATAACGAATCGACTTCTCATCCAGGCTACGGGCGCGAACACTTCTGGACGTCGGGCACCGACTTGGCCGAGGAGGGCAACTTCTTCTGGATGGCCAACGGCCGCCCGCTCACCTTCGTCAACTGGAACGCGGGTGAGCCGAACAACTTCAGATACGAGAACGGCGAGGAGGAAAACTGCCTGGAGCTATGGAACAGGGACGACAAGGGCCTCAAGTGGAACGACTCCCCGTGCTCCTTCGAGACCTTCTTCATCTGCGAAGTGCGATCAGATTGACACCGATCTTGCCCTGGACACCATTATGCAATGTGATAGCGGATTAGTGTGCTAGATGCCGTACCAATAGTTCTTTATTGTTTTTTTTTTTTCATTAATTTTGTTGATATGTGATATTTGTCAAGATTTCATCATGTCGAAATTTAATCGAAATATTTAAATTTATTTTATAGTACGTGTTCTAGTACAAAGTCTGATAGTTCAGATTCAATTGAATTTATTATTTATTTTATTTTCCGTAAATACGCTACAGGAATTTTAGAATTGTATCTCATGTATTTATTTATATTATGTATTTTTTGTACATCAAGTGCATCATTAATTTTTGAGACGGTCAAAACATAGTTTAAGTTTTTACGATCACTGCCTAATAATGATCTTACTCTTTGTTGTAACGCAAAAACCTCCGAGCCACGTGGTTCAACGGACGTTGTCGTCCATAGTCAACGTAGTGGGTAAATAAACAATAGTTACCTTAGTAATAACTGTAAAAATAGCTGTAAGGAACAATAAAGATTTTAAAGATTCTTTTCCTGTTGTTTTTACTACCTAATTATAATTATATAGTATTAAAGTAAAGTATCAGCCTATACATGTCCCAAAGCAGGGCAAAGGCCTCCTCTGTACAGAGCGTGCAGGGCATAGTATGCCACGCGGCCCCACTGCGGATTGGCGAACTTCACGTATCTTCGAAATATATATTTTTTTTAATTATTATTTCAAAAATATGCAGCTATATATGCAGCATATATTTACTCACGACGTTTCGAGGTTGCTCGAGTATATTGAATAAAAGGCCTATATAGTTTAAATAACTATAAAGATAAAGATAAAATAAATAGTAGCCTTCCCGACATATCACGAAGACGCTTTAATCAGCTAGATAGATTTCACCCCAGTTTCAAGTTCAAGTGCAATTTGGCATTGTTGTCTTTGATCATAAAAATCTGACAAAAGCAGACAGTCGAACAAAATAGAACTGTAACAGTCCTCCAAATCTCTCCAAACATCGTTGACATGAAGAAAACCCTCTCAGTTCGCAATAAAGTAATTATTTGCCCCATTGATGCATTCGGATGTCGTGAAAATTCAAATGTAAATTGCGCTTCCCACCGTTATAACCTTTCCGCTCGTTAAAAATCTCATCAGTGGCAGAACGACTCGCCCGGTCGACCGTTACTCCCATCTCGTTGCAAATTAACAATATGACTTCACTGCTGTCGGTACTGCTTTCGATGTTATCTCGAATTTGGTTCACATTCATTCACGATGTGTACGTATCCCTTGTTTATGTATCACATTTAGTACTGATATCTACATATACATATTTAACCTTTTTTATTCGTCCATGAAGTGTTTAGCCAATATTAAGACTACAAATACTATTTTTCAAAACAAGTATAATGCTAATGACACTTAAATGTTTTTTATTCACAATTAGTCATGCTTGTGTAACCTGTCAAACAATTTAGGATTGCGTTCCGAAAATCCTTTTTCTATGTGTTTAGATTCACAAATTCTTTAGGAATAATTTATATGGAAAAACGACGTTTGCCCGGCCAGCTACATACATACATCATTTTAATATATTTATACTCTCAAAGAGTGTCTTTACCTAATGAGATAATTTAATTACCCTAATCAATAGTATATCAACCGACACTAGACTGTGGGCAGACTATTTTTGAACAGATATATAATGAGTGGTAATGTGTCACCTGATATTTTTCCATCATCCTATAAGCGATAGTCATCTAATTATTTTAATAATATTGGATGGATTAATCTGGTGTTGGATCCAATTTGATAGAGCATTAGGTGAAACGTAATGATACTAGGTAACTTCAAATAATCTCACAGCCCCAATAAATTATACTGTACGCTGTCTCACAACCGTCGAGATTTAAAAACTATCTTAATTAGTGAGAGTGTATTCAGTGAAAGCAGTGCCATCCCCCTAAACTTAATTAAACGCTGACGTTACATAAGTGCCCATTTAAATGCAGACTATATAAGACATTACTTTAGATTAACGCGCAATCCTATTGTTAAAGCCGAACTTCACGTGGCTTGTTCTCTGAAATACACTCATTTCATTATTACATAATTTATTTCTACATATTTTTGAATTGAGCGAATAATATAAAATACGAGTGTATTTTATAGCACAAAAAAACATGAAGCTTTGAATTCTTTTTCGCATAAAAAACAATATAAAAAAGGTTTTTTTACAGTCGTTGACAAAGGCTAAAAAAGGGTATAAAAGAAAACAACTGTAATTTTATTACATGCACGCGAATTTTTGAAAGGTCTTTAATTAATTATCTAATTTCCTCTGCATTTTTTAAATTCTAATTATTGTCATACTCGTAGCTGTTTAGCGGTCCGCCGAGAGAACGCTTGATATTAGAAGACAGCCATTTAACGAACCGCGAAATGATTTTTTTCTGGTGAGTTAAGCATAGAGAAATCACAAATCCTCGTGAATGTGTCAAAAAAAAACATCGAAGAATTAAAAAATATGCCAATTAGTCCACATTCAAGAGCAGATATCACGCTGCCAAAACACGAGTCCTAAATCGCCTCGCTTTCAGCTTTCTTAAATTATTCCGTAAGCACCGACTCCCCGGCTAATTAGCTCGAAACTGTGTATTGACTCCAAGAGATTGAGATAGGATTGTACTTTTCGATGAATCCGGGATTTCTCTGAACGGTGAAGCGAGTGATACGACGACGAGGAGAATGCTTGCAGAGCTTTTATTAGGGGCATTAATAGAAGAAATCACATTTTATTAACTGACTTCAAAAGGAGGAGATTCTCTATTCGACTGTATTTTTTTTTATTTTTTCTATGTTTGTTACCTCGATTTTGATTTTTTTTTCGAAAACTGGTGCTTCCCATGTGGTCCCATACTACATTATTCATTAGTATTGGATCTTGGGATCCGGAGATACGTAGGAAAATCACCTAGAAAATTAATACAGAGCGAGATATTTTGAAGTCGATTTTTGTATTTCGTTATTTAAATTCTTCGAAGTCCCTACCCAATCCCGTAGCGATACCTGAGCTATTCTAAAGTAACAGAAGAGATTAGCGCAGGCGGCTGTTCCTTATTTTCCTGCTTAAGTGCCCGTTTTTAACAATAGTCACACTTCACATAATTAGTTTCTACGAATTCGGTCTTTTCTTTTTTTATGTTCCTTAAATAGCGTTCCCCAAACATTAAAATATTTAATGGACCATAATACATAACTCAATAGCTCTCCAAGAGAACGTTATTCGTGGAGAACCATAGACCGATCATCTCAGCTTATTACAGGTGTCATCTCTATGCAACCTTATTGACATAAAACCATTTAAGTAAAAATAGCTGAGGCGAGGATAGCGTTTTCTATGACCCAACAATATACCTACCTGAATCTTACAATGGAACGATGTATATCAGAAATATTATACGGAACTCATCATTCATCACGATTCGCTACGTAGCACATATTAAGCGCGAATTTCAAAATCGACACACCCTGTATTTTGCTAAACCGTGGAACAAAAAAGTTAACGTGCATACATACCTTGTATGGGTTTATTATATGTTGTGTCTTTTATAAGTATTTACGTATTAAGTATTTAACTTACAGTAAGTTTAAATATTTATTTAGTATTTACTATTTACGTATTTACTTAGATTGGTATAAAAGGCTATTTATTATCTATTTAGAGCTCTTACACCTCTGCCAAATTAACAAACAAGTCTTATTTGAAAACCACATTAGCGATTCAAAATGAAATTAAATTTCTGTTTTAGTACAAATTCAGTAATACGCGTTTTAGGACTGGCGTCTGAGTTTCACTGAATATTGAGATTTATATAACTGTTTTTAATCAATAAACTGATTGGAAAATGGAAGTTTCATGCCATAGACAGTCTGTGAAAATAAATGTAATAAGAAATAAATAATTCCACGTAATCGTTATATCTCTAATGGCAATAAATATGAAACTCAGTGAAGCGAAGTCGTTAATTAATAAATAGCGCACTTCCACATACCGCTTCAATAGCCAGCTCTAGTATAAACATTATCTGTTACATACCGTTTTATATTATCTATACTATTTTATGTCGTTTTGCTATCGTTTTTGTTTTGAACATTGCGCAATAATTTCAAAATTACTATGACTTAAAGGTATTAACAGTAAAGTGGTTAAGAAGTACAATTTGAAGTTGTGTTGTTTTATTATTCTTATCGGTTTACTAATTATCTAACAAGGAATTAAGAGACTCCTCAATAAGGCTAACTGCATCTGCGTCCGATGAAGCTTTAATAGTCTCGGGACTGAAAGCAAAAACATCAGTTAATACAAGAAGCTAACTGCTTTTAAAGAAATTATTGCACATGCATTAAAATCGGGATTATATTGAATAATTCAATACATTGTATTGAATTATTCAATATAATCCCGATACAGATTAAATAAAAAATAAAGTTAGAAGAGCCCACTTAAAACAAGTGTTATCTACGTTGTAATTACTATCGATACTCCTTCCGAAAGGGTCATCCATCATTATGATAGGTCTCTTGCGACTCGTAGTGGTGTATAGAATTGCTAGATAGAGGGCAATTTAAGTTTCTAAGAGAGTTTTATATCATCATATTATAATGATCAATCAATCAATGAATTTATTATTTATTGTACACCAAAAACATGATTTGGACCATAATACAAAAATGCAATGATAGTTCCATGAACTGAGCTTTTAGTGGTTTTTTAAAAGAAAAACAGAGACTTCGCTCGTCGAATGCGGCAGGGTACAGAATTTCACAAACTCACTGATGTGAGAGATTTCTCGAAAAACTAGGAGAAATGTTCAAGAGTCTGGAGGGAGGGAGGAGATTTTTGCAGAAGATGAAGGAACATTTTTTAAAAGAGGGTTTTCACACACGTAGGTAAATATCACCCTCATTGTACAAACTACATAAACACTTAAGCCAAAAAC